GCCAGTGGCGAGGCAGGCCAGTAAGGAGGGAGTTGCAGTAGTCCCAGAGTCGTGATATGATGAGGGAGTGGATGAGCTGTTTAGTGGTTTCTGGGTTAGGAACATGCGTATTTTGGCGATGTTGCGGAGGTGGAGTCTGCATGAGTTTGTTAAAGATTGGACTTGGAGCTGGAAGGATAGGTTGGAGTCCAGAATGACACCAAGTACTCTGGCCTGCGGGGCGGGTTTGAATGGTGGTGGTGTTGGACATGATGGAGAAGTCAATGGGGGTGGGGTCCGGGGGTGGGGGAAGACAAGAAACTCTGTTTTGGAGAGGTTCAGTTTAAGGAAGTGGAGCGACATCCAGTCTATGTTGCTCAGTAGGTGTGGGATTCGGGTGGAGACTGAGGGGGTGAGGTGGGGGGTTGAGAGATAGATTTGAGTGTCGGCATATAGGTGGTAGTTGAAGCCGTGAGAATGTATGAGTTGGCCAAGGGAGGAGGTGTAAATGGAGAAGAGAAGGGCCTGAGGACGGAGCCTTGAGGGACCCCAACAGAGAGGGGAGTGAGGGGGAGGTGGTAGCATTATAGGTAACGCTGAAAGAGCGTTGTGACAGGTAGGATGAGAGCCAGGAGAGAGCAGAATCTCCAAGGCCGAGGGAGTGTAGTTTTTTGAGGAGGAGGGGGTGGTTTGACTGTGTCGAAGGCAGCGGAGAGGTCAAGGAGTAGGAGCACTGAATAGTGGCCATTAGCTTTGGTGGTTAGCAGGTCATTGGAGAGTTTGAGTAAGGCAGTTTCGGTTGAGTGTAGGGGACGGAAGCCGGACTGTAGGGGATCGAGGAGGTTGTTGTCGTTGAGGTGAGAGCTTGATCGGTGTAGACTAGGCGCTCGAGAGTTTGGATGTGAATGGGAGCAGGGAGATCGGTCTGAGGTTGTTCGGGTCATTGTGGTCCAGGGAGGGCTTTTTAAGTGTGGGGGTGATGTTTATAAACGGTCTCCCCGAACCCTGCTTGTGCGTGCTCCCTGGGAGCACACAGCACTGCGATCCGGTGCCCGCTGTGTCCTCTGGACACAGTGGAACACCGATCGTCAGACGGGACCTCTGTACGATCACTGATTTAGCCAATCAGTGATCACATGCAGAGTAGTAAGCAAGATGTCACTTGTGACATCATTGCTTACTACATGTGAAATCTGTGAATGATCACAGAGGTCACATGGTACTAGGCTATTCACAATAGCCTTGTACCATGTGACAAGCTGTGACCAATCACAGCTCACTCAGTAGTTCTCAATGGCTGCAAGAATGCAGCTAGAGAGGAGGAGAAATGATTTTCTTTTACATCCTTTATGGGTGTAAAAGCAATCAGTGTAAAAAAAGGAGAAAAAAAAAATCTTCATCACCCCCCACAGGTAGTACAGTGTCACGACAGTGACACTGTACTGCTAGGGTGACAGTATGTAAAAAAAAAAAAAAGTTTAAAAATTATAATTTTTGGTTATAAACTCATTTGGGTTATTTTTTTTTTTTACTAAAAATATAACGGGAATAAATTTTGGCCAAGATTTATGATGAAATACTATTTGCAAAATGTTATAAGAAAAACACTTTTTTTTCAAAATGTTTGGACTTTTCAATTTACATAGCAAAAAAAAATATAAATCCCAGTGGTG